CATCTAATACAGACATAGACATTTATGTACGTGCGACGCGAGCGCGCGAACATACTAGTTCACACAGAAACATACTAGTTGAATTTCTTCTTTGTCTCTCTATATCTTTTTCATCTTCATCTATATGATTATAGTTGTCTCGGTAGACGTGATTTCACCTATTTAAAATCTAACAAACTTGTTTCTTAACTTAATCATTTTCTTTTTCTTTTTGTTCTTTGTTTTCGCTTCTCTTTCTCTCTTTCTCTCTTTCTCTCTCTCTCTCTCTCTCTCTCTCTGTCTAATATCAAAACGATTCTTTAATGATTCGTAATTTAACTTTATTTGTGTATCGTCGTATGGAATAATGACAACAGAATGATCGAAAAATGAATGTAAATTAATTGGCATATTTTTTTTTCTTTTGTTTAGATTATCAATAAAAAGTAAAATATAAATAATTTTATGATACTATAAAATAATCGTTAAAGCGATCGTTATTTTTAATATACTAATGCAAATTAATAAATATCTTTTTAATTATATACATACATATACATTTTTGAAAAGTCAATGAATTCGATATAATACAATTAAAAATATTCATTAGACTGTATAATAAATAAAATGTAATACTACCTAAGTATTTATTATATACAATAAAAATTTTAATAAAATTATATATATATATATATGTACATATTAAAAAGTAAATGAATGGATAAAATAGATATTTAATTGGAAAAATTCATTGAAGAAACTCCGAAAACTTTGAAATGGTTTCGCTGAAAGATGCATGGTTTTTAACGATCATAATCAGATCGAGAGATCTTTAAAGAGGTTCTCACTCCTTTTGACCTACTCCAAGCTCCACGGTATTGGAGAGAAGTTAAGTCGATTTCGAAAGAAGAAGAAAGAAAAAGAAAGAAAATGAAAGAAAGAAAGAAAAAAGAAGTCAGTAGGTCGAACCTTTTTGAATTCCATGGAGAGTCTCTCATGGCTCAAAGAACACCTTTTCAAGGAATTTATGTGACCAAAGACACCAACCTCTCTGCCCTTATTCTTTTCGTCCTATCACTGGAACAGAACGTGGGAGAAAACGAATTTCTAAGGATTCATTTTTCATAAAAGGACTCTACGTGATTTACAACTTGAAATATTTTACCACGATACATCTTATTTTCATGTGATACATTTTATTTTTCATGAAATTTATTTATGTTTTCTTTCTTCTTGTTTTTTCATTTTCTCTTGTTTTTTTTATGAGTATAAAAATTGGATACCAATACTCACTGACAGTTGTGTATGTGTGTGTGTGTGTGAGTGCGTGTGTGCGCGTACGCAAAGTATCTTGAAACGTATGTCCTTGAAATCATTGTTATTTATTTATTTATTTATTTATTTTTTTAAGTTGGTAATTATTAAGTGAATAATATGCGTTTTCTTGTAAAGAATGGAATTAGGCCACTTTCAAAATAAACAATCAGATTCATTATAAAATTTGAAGATGCCGAAGTCCATTCAACATAATTTAAGATGTTTCAAATTGAAAAAAACAATACTCAATTTATTTTACATATCTTTAAAATACTTCGAAAATATAATTTATGCGATTCAAAACATTTTTTAACTACATAACGTACAAAATTACGAACATAAATTTATTACAAAACAATTTACTACTCACCTAGATTTTGTGTGTGTGAAAGGGATTTGAAGAAATCATGATGTTCCGGTGGTATATATCGTAATAGATCAATTATGTCCTTGAATTTTGCTGTTGTAATTTGTCTGATATTTTTATACAGTGGTGTCAATACAATATTTTCGAACTTTTTTGGTCTACCCCGACGTGGTAGTAAATTCAGGACTTTAAAATTTTCATTTTCATTCATTGATGTCTTATAAAAAATTTTATATTATAAAGAAATATTTTTTATTTCTTTTTAATTCAAGGATTTTCATTGATTCGTATAATAATTTTTACGATGATTCATGTTCAAGTGTTTCATCGAAAAATAATTTCTTTTTTGTATTTATAAATTGAAATTATATACAAACGGAAAACGACGTTTAAATAATAAAGTCTTATTTCTACGAATAACTTTATGCAAATTAAAAGACAATAAATAAATAAATAAAAAAGAAAACAAAAAAAGCGGAAAGCTTCTGTTTCAATAATTACTCTTAAAGGAATAATAAATGTTTCATCGAAATATCGTTACTCAAACGAAGCCACGAATTTTTAGAATAAACTTTCTAATACGATACGTAAAGCTTTTCGATGAAATATTTATTCGATTTCAAATAAAACAAATATTTTTTTTCTTCTCTTTCACTTTTTACACTTGTCGGTAAACAAAAAAGAATTAACATGTTATTTAAATCATAATATTATTTATAACAAAATCATTCTTATGAATTCAATCATTATAATATGATTGTTTTATATATCTTTTTGCGCAAGTGCATATTGGAACATCTGTTCATAAAGAATTCGTTAAGATGAAATGAACGAAAATTTAAATTTTTATAAGGCTATTTAAAGTCTTTCTTGCTGAAATTTAGAAGAACTTCTTTTGTATAACAAGAGACTCAGAAAGAGAGAGAAAGAATGACTAAATACGAAGGGGGCGAGAATAACATAATAGGGGCCGGGGCGAAATACTCCAAGGGGCGATGCTAACTTGGTAGAGGATGGGGCTTAACTAGTAGGAGGCATGACCAAGTATCCCAGGGGGCGGCGCCAAGATGGTAGAGGGCAGGGCTCAACTAGTAGGAGGCGTGGCAAGTATCCCAGGAGGCGGGGCTTAACCGGTTGGAGGCGGTGCTAAGTATAGAGAGAGCGTGGCCTAGTAGCCCCTGGGGGCGGGGCTTAACCAGTTGGAGGAGGGGCTTAGTATCGAGGGGGCGTTGCCTAGTAGCCCCTGGGGACGGGGCTTAACCAGTTGGAGGAGGGGCTTAGTATCGAGGGGGCGTTGCCTAGTAGCCCCTGGGGACGGGGCTTAACCAGTTGGAGGCGGGGCTTAACCAGTTGGAAGCGGGGCTTAACCAGTTGGAGGCGGAGCTAAGTATCGAGGGGCCGGGGCCTAGTAACCGGGGCTGGGGCTTAACCGGTCGGAGGCGGGGCTAAGTATCGAGGGGGCGGGGCCTAGTACCCCAGGGGACGGGGCTAACTTGATTGGGTGCGTGGACTAGTTTCCCAGGGGTGGGGCTTATTTAGTTGGGGCGTGGCCAGGTATCCCAGGGGGCATCGCTATCTTGTGGTGGTGGGGCTTATCTAATAGAAGGCTTGGCCTATTACTCCAAGGGGCGGGCTGAATCAGGAGGTATGGAGCCATATGTCTCTCCTCGATTTTCTAAGATAGTCGTATAGTCATGTAGTCAATAGTTAGTTTTGTCATATATATTCTTTATAATCATTTATAGCCCTTATAGTCATTTATAGTCCGTATAGTCCTTATAGTCATTTATAGACAATATAGTCAGTATAGTTATTTATAGTCAGTAATTATGTAGTCAATAGACATATAGTCAGTAGTTAACAACTTTCACTATATGTACAATTTTCTACTACCATGGGAATCACCGCGATTAGATAAACCGTGTTGTTATGATACCATTAACCCTTGAATATTATGGGCGCACATATGCGTTCTGCGAAAGCTATCGATATTGACTATGGAAGCAATTACGCATCTGGCAAAAATGTGCCCATAATTATTAAAGTGGTTTAAGTCATAATTTCAACAAGATGAGTTTATCACTTATTTCACATTCACATTATCTTAAACTATATGTAGTTAATGTAATTTTTACGATATCGTCAAAAATGAACCTTTAGTTAGTGGATATAATTTCAACGTTATACGGAGTTCATTTAGCGTTATTTTTGAAAGTAGTCTAAGTCAAAAATTTAAAGAAATTACATATAAACATAACTTGAAAATGGCGCGTGGCCCTCTTCGACACGTTTCTGAACTACATAGTAAGCTGGTAAAATAAATGATAACGAAAACTCCAATTCATTTCGCTTTAAGATGTCTGGATTTTCACGAAAAATAGATGATATTAAGATGAAAGCTGTACGAGAACATATTTTAAGTTTTCCAGCATATGAGAGCCACTACAACAGAGCTTGTCACACTCCTGGTAGAAAATATTTGAGTTTTGACCTAGATATTCGTAAAATGTATAGCCTATATGTAGAGATATATGAGGAAAATAATCAATCCTTTATTAAGGAATGAATCTACAGGAAAATATTTAATACTGAATTTAACTTAAGTTTCCATGCTCTTCGAAAAGACACATGCCAAAAATGCGATTTACTGAATGGAAAAATCGAAGCATGCAATAATGAGGAAGAGAAATTACATCTTAGAGAAAGTCATGATGTACATTTACAAAATGCCGAACGAGCTAGGAACTGTCTTGCAGTGGACCAGAAAATAGCAAAAGAAAATTCCAGTGAATACTATGGAAAATTCAATGGATGAAATTCTTGAAAATTGAACCTTATAAAATGTTTAAAACTTCTTTAGATGATTCTAAATTCCACGTTTTGGATCTTTCACCTAAAAGAGGAATACCAAAAATATACGAAAATATTAAATTACTTCCATTATACACCACCCCTAGACCAGTAACGGAAAAAAAATATAAAGATATGTGTTTACTACCATACTTCCAGTTTATCAGGAACATTTTAAGAATCATAAAAACTAGAAAAAATGATAAAAATGGATTACTTTTTAAAAATAATTAATAAATGTTCATGAATTATTTCATTAAAGTTATTGTTTCAAATAAAACTCATAGTTCTTTATTGCTTTAAGTCATTTATAGAACATTCAATTAATTTTGAAAATAGTCTAAGTCAATTAGAGCTTTAAAAACAACATTTTCGTTTGAAATTCAATACAAAATTTCATATTCATAATAAATTTCCATTAATCAAGACTAAGAAAATTATAAATTAAAATGTCGCATAATATAAAAATATTTTTTAATTCGTTCAAACACAATTCATTAAATATCTCGAAACAAGAAATATATGACTTAGACCACTTTCATAATTATGGGCACATATGTTTCTATATAATCATTAAGTGCAAATTGCGATAATGATGTTTTCAATAAGAATACATTGTTAACGATAATGGCAATTCGTTCTCGTCGACGTTATTGTTATTATAAAAAAAAAAGTGGGAAATGAAGAATAATTCTTCTTATATATATATATATATATATCATATTAATAACATACTATTTTGGATCTGTTCAATTGTTCTTGTAAAGTTTTACATCGAAAAATTAATATTAATAACATAAATTTATAATAAATTTTCAATGCATAATATCTATATATCGTACTTAAGAAGTTATTGATAATAATTCAAGAAAAAAATAATTGAATTAATAAATTATTGACTAACAATATAAACTTTAATATCTCTTTTCTTTTAAATTTATGACAACAATATCCAAATAAAAAAAAAAGAAAAATATATATATATATATATATATATATTTATATATATAATATATTTAAATAAATATAAATATTTATAAATATATATATATATATTTATATATATATATATATATATATATATATATATATATATATTTATATAAGTATATAAATTTAGAAACTTTCGTATTTATTTAAAAAAATCTTTAAGGCAAATGTCATAAATTTTATGATGTATTTTCATAAATATTATATAAGTAAAAGGTCAAAGGGCAAAGGACCAAAGGTTCTAGAAATACTTTGTAAACTAGCTTAGATAGCATGTCTCTCGTGCCTTCGTCGAAGACACCAAAAGCTCTTTGTTGTCCGCGGTTCTACAATTATTTTCAATTAATGTCAGCTTTTTCGTAAGGACCTCATCCTTCCTTATTCCTAGTCCTTTATTCAGTAAACAACATTTTGTTTTCCAAAAGCATTCCATTCATTTTCCTACTCTTTCTCTCTCTCTCTCTCTCTCTCTCTCTCTCTCTCTCTTTCTTTCTTTCTTAATTTATCTTTCATGTCATTATTTAATAAAAGAAATTCATTTGTCAGACTTTTTAAATGGCATTGTTCTAATACTCGAATATTAAATCAAAAATTTAATTAGCTTTAAGAAATTTTTATTATAAAATTACGTAACATATATTATTTAATTTTATAACATAATTATCTATTGATAATTGTAAAAATACGAATTTTATTATTAATTTCGAAATAATATAATAATATATTAATAATAATATAAAATTCGAAAACATATATATATATATATATATATATATATATATATATATATGTAGATATTAAATTTGTTTAAGCTCGTTTTAATACAAAATTTTTTTCAGATAATGAAACAAATTTCTATAAAACGTATATAACAATGAGAGTCTTCGTTCAACAATATTATATTATTATGAATTAAAAAAAAGGCATTTTTTGTTTTTTTTTTATATCACATTTATATATAACAAAATAATTGTGTTGACGAATTAAAAAAGTGAAAATAAAAAAATGAAAAAGAAATTCTAAACACGTGTTTTATGGTTAGATAATCTTGACTCAAATTTTCCTTTTTTTTTTCGTTACCATCACAGTATCTAATTATATATATATATATATATATATATAGAGAGAGAGAGAGAGAGAGAGAGAGAGAGAGAGAATGAACAAAGTAAAAATATTCGTGATTTGTAAGCTAACTTTTATAATATATTTTTCTTTTCTATCATTTATTTTTCAGGAACTCGAAAGAAGTTCATCGAGAGAGACATTGTCATCGCCAGTTGGAAACAGTCCAGTTTGTTGTCAACCATGCAGTCCACCTTGCAGTCCACCACCGGCACCAGCTGCATACATATCAAGTGCTCGTGCCTCTTCAAGAAGACTCACTACCGGAAGTGGACTCGGAGGTCTTCCATCTCCGGAAAGAGATCCTTTTGGAAGATTACTCAGGTTAACTTATATCTTTTCTTCTTTTCTTCTTTTCTTCTTTTCTTCTTTTCTTCTTTTTTCTTTTTTTTCTTTTTTCTTTGTTTCTTTACATCCTTCTTTTTTTTCTCAATTTCAATTTCTCCATCATCTTCTATCAAATATTAATACATTATATTTATTTACTCGTAATATAAAAAATAAATTCACGTGTAACATTATTGTAATCCATATAAATTTAACAATATTGACGATATTAAAAATAATAAATATTTTTTTTTTCAACATTATTTATTGATTCATTTATTATATTTAATCGTCTAAATGTTAATTATTTAATGAAAAAAAAAAAATCTTTTCAATTTTTTCATTAACATTTATTTTCTTATTTAAAGTTTTATTGTTTAAATATTTTCATAAATTTTCATTTATAAAAATTTCACTTCCTATGTATCTAAGTGCATACATATGTCGTTATATTAACATTTTCCTGTTGATGTAGTTTCGCAATAAAGTAACATGACAAAGTAACACACGGCATGGAAAATTTCTAACACTTTTTAATGAGAAATTCTCGCGAACGAATAATGAGAATGAGTGACGTCATGTCGACGAATGAAAAGCCCTTCTAGTTTTGTTTTCCTTTCATTTACTTGTAACGTTTGAAAAATCATGTTAAAAAGAAAATAATGAAAAAGAAAAAGACAGAGAAAGAGAGAGAAAGAGAGAGAGAGAGAGAGAAAGAGAGAAAGGGAGAGAGAAAAAAAAAGTGTTTTATTAATGACCGAGCATATAATCTCAAAGAATGATTAACAAAGTCGAAAATAGTGAAAAAAAGATCTTCAACGAATTTTTCGTCCGAAAAAATAATAGTGATTTATTCATTGTTCCATTATACTTTCTTTCTTACGAAGTTTCACGTAATGCTATGTAATCTTCAAAATGCATTAATGTAAAAGTCTTACGTCATTTACAATCTTACAAAAATGCATTATAACGACTGTTATATTTATCATTTCCTATTTCCTTCTAACATGACACTTAAAGTTAGTAGTAGTCGTCTGTCTCATTTACATGATAATAAATAATATCTACGTTTATGATGTAATTTTTTATTTTTCATTTTCCTTTATTTACTTATCTATCTATCTTCTTCTTCTCTTTTTTTTTTTTTTTTTTTTTTTTGAAGACTTTCTGATCGCATTTAAAAGATGTAGTCTCTCTCTCTCTCTCTCTTACTCTCTCAATGTTTATTAAAAATTGACAAATAAATTAATGTACTATAATTTTTAGTATATAACTAATCATTATCTCATATAATAAGATAAGAATACTACAACTAATGTTAATAACGAAATTAATATTATTAAAATATTAATCTATATTAAAAATGCATAATCAAATATATTTCAAATAATATCATAAATAATAATACGCTCGCGTATAGACATATATACACACATACACACACATACACACGTCTATATATATTAATAATAAATTTAGTATTATTAAAATAATAATTTGTGTATTTATATGTATGTAACGATATAAATTCTTAATAATCAAATATATTTGATATAAATAATTGTCAAATAAATAATAAATTAATAAAATAAATTAATAAAAATTCTATAGATTCTTGAAGACATTCTACACCGAACTGGGAAAACGTGATCCACCACATATGCCATCATGGGTATGTCCTTTGCCTCTTGGAAGTCTTTGCCCGGCTCACTTCAAACCACACCTACAGTTGGTGCACAAAAGTGAACAGGAACATCGTCTCGAGAACATCAAGCCGGACCAGATCTTTGCACCTGTCAGAGTGAGTATTACAAATCGCCCACATCTTTCTTCTTCTTCCTCTTCTTCTTCTTCTTCTTATTCCTCCTCTTTTTCCTCTTTTTCTTTTTCTTCTTCCTTTTTTTTCTCTTTTTCTTCCTTTTCTTTCTCCTCTTCATCTTTTTCCTCTTATTCTTCATCTTCATCTTTTTCATCTTATTTTTCTTCATCATCTTCTTCTTTATCTTCATCTTCTTAATCTTATTTTTCTTCATCATCATCATCTTCTTCTTCTTCTTTTACTACTTCTTTTCTTCTACTTCTTCTTCTTCTTCTTCTTCTTCTTCTTCTTCTTCTTCTTCTTCTACTACTTCTTCTTCTGCTTCCTCTTTTTTTCAACGTCAACGTCGACGAATACGAGGATGACAAGTAAGAAACGTGCAAAACTTTTCAAACAGGACAAATCCGATAAAAAAGGCAGACGAACGTTTGGTGTCTACTATTCTATGAATCTTTTTCTGACGTTTTCTAACTTTCGTTTCTCTTTTCTTTCGATAAATCAATCTCTCTGGAATATCTTCCTATTCTCCAATTTTCCTACTTTTTATTATTCCATTTATTTATCTACTTTCTTTTTTCTTTCCTCTCTTACTCTCTCTCTCTCTCTCTCTCTCTCTCTCTCTCGCTCTCTTTTTCTTTTTCAATTCCATTTTGAAATTGAAATTTAATTATTCAATCGTCGTTATTTTCTTTTCTTTTCTTTTCTTTTTTCTTTTTTTCTTTTTTCTTTTTTTCTTTTTTCTTTTTACATCATTTGTTTATCGCGATCGCACGTATAATAAAAAAAATAAAACGATTTGTTTAAATTGACTATTTATTTATTTTTTCTAACAAAAATAAATAATCCATAAAATTATAAAATTATTACCGAAAGAGATAAACATTTACGAAGATATAACTTTTATCCTTTCATAACGTTATTATATCAAAAAAAAAAATATATCAAAAGAATAAAGAATTTCTATATGATTATAAAGAAAACAAAAAAAAAAAAAAAAAAAAAAAAAAAAAAAAAAAAAAAAAAAAAAGAAAAGAAAGATCAAAACAAAATTCCACTTCATTCGCGTATTCTCATCAAAATAATTTTTCCTATTATATAATTAAATATTAAATTATTATTAATAATTATCACGTGAGCACCCTTTAATTCTACTGGTCATAACATAATTTTTTCGATCGTATAAATTTGTATAGATAGTTTTTCTCAATGTAGTAAAACATTCGTGAATGGAATAACATTGCATCTGTCGAATGCGATATTCCGAGATATTCTCATATCTTATTGTCATCTCGTTCTCATGGGTGTAATAATAGTAATAGTAGTAGTAGTAGTAATAGTAGTAGTAGTAATAGTAGTAGTAGTAGTAGTAGTAGTAGTACAAATAGTACATAGTAGTGTTGGTCGAATCCGAAACGAGAGAAGAATAGAAACGAGTTATAACTCGAACAATAAAGTAGCTACTCGTGACCCAGTTTTAATATCACCCATCCAGTGTTATCATACCGGTTTGGAAAACGATTTAAAAAAACGACCTCTTTGATACGCACCTTCTTTCTCGCTTCTCTTTCATTATTTCATATCTCCCTCTTTCTCTTTCTCTTTTTCTTTCTCTTTCTCTCTGTTTCCAATTGATCCTTCTCTTTTATTTATGGCTTTGCGATATGAGAAAAGGTTCCATTTATTTCTCAAATAATTTTTTTTCTTTCTTTCTTTCTTTCTTTCTTTCTTTCTTTCTTTCTTTCTTTCTTTCTTTCTTTTTTTTTCTTTTTTCCCCCCTTAGTTTAATTTCGCACTGTGGTAATACAGTGGAATTTAATAATAATCGGTATTTGTGTGGAAAATTTGTTTTATTAAATTTCTTCTTCATACAAACGAATGAATGGTCACAACTTTTCATGTTTTTGTGTGAAATAAAAAGAGAGAAAAAGAGAGAGAGAGAGAGAGAGAGAGAAAATGCAAACATTTATTTTTAGATTTATTTTGTATTTCTTTTATATATATGTATATATATATATATACATATAAATATATATGCATGTATATTATTGTTATTATCATATCGAGATGTCGAATTATTTCTTAATAAAATAATTGAAATATCATTACTTTAATTAACTTTTTTGTTTTTATTATTATTATTATTATTATTATTATTATTATTATTATTATTATTATTATTATAATTTTCATCATCATCATTATTGAATTTTTTATTTTTCTATTATTATTAAATATTATTATCATATAACGAGATATTAAAATAATAATAAATATTATAAATTTTGTTAGCAAAAATTAACTATTTCTTTCTTGTCATTTTCCAAACCGGAAAAAAAAGTCATAAACTGTGTTAGACTAGTAACAAGAACTGAACTTCACTATATTGTGTATAACGGGTGCTGGATAAAGAACAATGAAAAACGAGAAATAGAGAAGTTAAGGATGAAAGAAGAAAAAAGAAAAATAAGAAAGCTTGTTGGTTCGTGAGTAGCTTTCCCAAGAGCTTCTTTTCTTAGCATTACGTATCTTGCTCGAAAGAGCAATTAGTTGGCTAATAGATATCTTAAGATCTTTCGACAGTTTTCGAAAACGTTTTCGACGCCTTCGATGAGAAAGTGAAGATGTATTTACCTATCGATATCCATGAAGTATCAACCAATTGAAAGACTTAATCGATATTTTTTTAATTTCATCAATTTCCGCGTTCGTTCTATTGAACTTTATCGTTACCTTTTTTTTATTTAATTTGTAAATAGCATATTTATATATATGCGTGTGTATTATGTGTATGTGTAATTTTTTAATTGAATATATTTTTTATGAAATGTATATATGATCAGGATCACAATTATATTTTTTTTTATTTTATTTTTTATTTTTAGAAAATTATTATATACCCAACCATTAAAATTTGTTATCCTTATTAAGTAGATAAATATAAATATAAATATTATAAATAAATAAATATAAATATAATAAGTAATTTATTATAGGTATTAAATAAACAGTATTTATATTTGAATATATTTATATTTAATTTAACTTGTACAATTACTATTCATTAATTAAATAAAATATTTATATTTATATATGTTTGTCAAGATTTCAAAATAAGATAATTATCGTACAGTCAAAGATTAAAATTCGTCTATCTTTATAAATAGACAAATATAATATACAATATCTAATAAAATAAAATAAAAAGATAGATAACTATTTTTGAAATGAAAATTTATTCAATAACAATAGAAATTGAAAAGTCGATGAAATGCCTTCAATATTAAAAGAAAATATCAGTATAATAAAAGAGAACAAGAGATAGAGAAAGAGAGAGAGAGAGAAAGAGAGAGAGAGAGAAAGAGAGAAAGAGAGAAAGAGAAAGAGAGAGAGAATATATTTTTTACTTTTATTTTCTAATACAAAAAAAGAATACACACACACATACATATATATATAAAATTTCAATACTCTCTCTCTCTCTCTCTCTCTCCCTCTTATTTTTTTTCTCCTTCTTTTCATATTTATTTTCATCCAATATCAAAGTGGTAGTTCGGTGTATTCTCGAATTTATTCTTCTGTAAAGGCACAACGAACGTCTCTCTACGCCCTCCTCATCCCTTTTCACTCTTCTTTCACCCTTCGCCTTACACGTGACAGAGTTACGAGGCTCATTTTTCGATGTGCCCGTTTCCAAGCGAAGTGTCGCATTGTTCGCCACTCTCATTGCAACGTTTCGCGTTATCGGAGGGAGGAATAATGGAGGGGAATGAGAAAGAAGGGAAAGGACAAACAAGAGAAAAGTGGATAGAAGAAAAATTTTAAGAAAATTACATCGGACTTGTAGACGTTATCCGATATTCTTTCTTTTGTAATACTTCTTAAACCTCTTAACGGAATCAACAAAGAAATTTATATATCCTATATTTGTATATATGTATGATATATACATATATATATATATATATATATATATATATATATATATATATTTGTCTCAATTCAATTGTAGTGTTACTAATACATTATAGGTGCTCTTCATGATTTTATTATAACAATGTTTCTTTTATATATATTTATATATATATATATATATATATATATATATATATATATATGTATATATAATATTTTACAAAATACAAATAATAGATCAACATATCAGAAATTGATCCTGATATTTCGAATTGATTTTCAGTTAAGCGATGGCACCGTATCGGAAGCGCCTAGGAGAGTTGCCGTTGAGGGTGGTCCAGGAAGTGGAAGGACAACACTTTGCTTACGTTTGCTCTATCAATGGGCAATCCAAGCAGAAGGGCCGGCTTTGGCGTTCATCGTACCACTTCGTGAACTTCGTGGGAGTCCACTTTTAAATTATTTGGCCCGAGAACTTCTACCAAGAACAGCAGCCCTCGGAGATGCCGTGGCACAAGTTTGGCGTACGTTACATCTAATGGAAGACCGAGTCTTGTTTATATTGGACGGTTACGACGAGTGTATAGGAGGAAGGGCGTCTCTTGGTGATGCAGCTGACCTTTTAGAAGGTCGATTATTCCCAGAGGCAAGAATACTCGTTACCTGTTCGCCTATCAACACAGCAACTTTATCGCCATTGGTACAGAGAAGAATTCACTTGGCTGGTTTAGAATGGCCTCACGTCGAGAGACTCTGCGTAGCATATTTTATTCACAACAATATGGCAGGGAGAGCTTGCGAATTTTTAGAAGCATTGAACGTTCAACCACAACCCGTCAAACAGTTGGGTCAACATCCGCTTGGTTGGATCATGCTTTGTTGTCTTTACCAGGTACACAGTTGATTTATTTATTATTAATCATATATAATGGACATGTATATATAACACTGTCCTATTGATTTTTACAAAAAATTTTCATTCTACAGGATTCTGGAAGTTTACCAACAGAAACGAGTGCTCTGATGCATGCTGCGGTGAAGTGTATCGTAAAGAGAAGCCTCGAGCCAGCAATACCTTACGAAGAAGAGATTCCAGGACATTGTAGGAAACGTTTGGAAGAGTTCGGCAAGGTATCACTAGCTGCATTAAGGGAAGGAAGGTGTTGCTATACCGAAGCTGAAATAAGAGCACGTGGTGGTGGCATTGAAGTGACCAGGCTAGGTTTTCTCACTAAAGGATTGACCTTTGGTCAAAGACGTAAACCGGATCTCTTCACTCCTATTCACGTTGCCGTGGCCGAGTTCCTTGCAGCTTATTACCTCACCTCGGTCGCTCAATACGCGAACATCCTAAGAAGAGAACTCGAAGGTCTACCTTCTGGTATCATAGGACATCTTGCTGGTCTTTTAGGACCGAAGACTCACCTTATTCTTAATCAGCTTTGCCCATTAGAAGTACCACCTAGATCAGTATTCTCTTTATTAAAAGCAGCTGGTGCATCGGACGGTAACGTTTCAGCTGTTTGTCGATTGGTAGGAGCAGGTTCTGGATTTGGACCAGCCCCTAATGAAAAACCACCAGCACCTTTGGTACACACTTCACCTTTAGAACTAGAAGGTTGGTCCAAAATACTCCAAAGCTCGGCTTGTACACTCGAGGCCCTCGAATTGGTCTTCCAATTGGAAAGGGGATTCGACACAAGGTATCTCGATGAATTCTTCGATGCATTAGCCACTAACGAGAGTGTCAAACTCGTTAGGATTACCTCACTACTTGGACAAGAATTCCCTGCCGACGAGGCACTAAGACTCGCTGGACATTTAAAGAGTGTACTTGGAAAGAAGAAACTCAATGATTTCGAGCTTGTCATCACTTGCCTTGAAGAATCCGCACATGACAAGTGAGTTTCTTTTTTATTATTATTATCATTATTATTATTATTATTATTATTACTATTATTTTTATTATTATTATTATTTTTTTTTTTATTATTATTATTATTTTTTTTTATTATTATTATTATTATTGTTGTTAATCTGTTGATAATGTTTTAATTTTATATGCGGATTGCAATTATATTATGTGAAGTGTGATATAAATTAAAATTATATATTTGCAGTACGTAACAAAATTTGCAATTATATAATTGCAAGGCCCAATGAAAATTGTAATATCTAATTGCATGATACATTAGGAATTGCAATTGTGTATTGCAAATTATGGCAAAGTAAGGAAATTATGAAACAAAAGTTGCAATTACATATTGCAAAATACGTAAAATTATTACAATATATATATATAAATTACAATCAGTATATAAAATGTATTATTCATACATTACTAATATCTCTATAATATTTAAATATAATTTAAATAAATTGAAATTGTAATATTTAAATTTCACTTAAATCATATAATACGAGCTATTTTGTTAGAAATTAGATTAATCTATCAACTCTCCCTCTCTCTTCCTCTTCTCTCTCTCTCTCTCTCTCTCTCTCTCTCTCTCTCTCTCTCTTCCTCTTTATTTTCCATTCAGTTTAAATCTCGTAATTTCAAATGATATGATCTGACGTGGCAATCTCTCTGTCTCTCTCTCTCTCTCTCTCTCTTTCTCTCTCTTTCTCTCTCTCTCCTCCATGACTTCAAGATATAAATCTTACGCTAAAGTTTAATGTTCTCCAAAAGTTCCCTTCAGTTCTTCTTCGTCAAAATGCAACGAGTCGTTATATCGAAGTAGACAACGATGCAGCAATAATTTCCGATGGGTAATGTCCCATGTTAAAGATCTACTTTAATACTTGTTTCCATTGATATGACAGGGGAAATAATTCGTAAATACAATATTTATAAGATAATATTATATTTATAGTCAACGTTTGTTTATTATTCTTCGAATGAAATGATACTACGATAAAATTATTGAGAATGGTATAATAAAAAGGTTCTAATTTGTAATACTTTATTAATTTCTTATACGAATATAATCTTTATTATTAATTTATATATCAATAGATTAAATCTCAATAATTATAGTTAAATTTAAAATTGAAAATATTATTATAAGTAAATAATATAACTTATTGAAATATATTATTTCTAAATAATTAAATCTCAACAACTGTCGTAAGTTAAAAACTGAAAATAATATAACAAGTAAAAATATTAACGCATGATTTAATACAGAATATTTTCCATATGAATATGATTAATATCCTATATATCTCATGACATACACGGACAGACACGCACACACACATATACACACATGCAGAGCAAGTATAACTTCGTCGTCCTACACCATGAAGAATCAGACTCGTTATTTCAGTCCAACGAGTTAAAATATTTAAACAATCTCAAAAAAAAAAAAGAAAAAAAAAAGAAGAACTAAAAAAGAGTACTTCCAAACTTCGTTATTTGCTGGAGTTTCAAGAGCACAGTTTAATTGTAACTAAACGCCAAGAGAATGATTGAGAAAAGAAGTTTCTATGGGAATAAAGAAAAAAAAAAAAAAAGAAGAAAAAAAATACGAAGAGAAAAAGACAAGAAAAAAAGAAAAAAGAGGAAAAGAAAAAGAAGAAGTATAACGAGAGTATGAATACGTTTGTTAAATTGTAGAAGCAAAAGTGTTGAATGATGAGAATGATAAGAGATAAAGGATGAGTTCGAAGCAAAAAAAAAAAAAAAAAAAAAAAACAGTAGCAGAAGAAGAAGAAAAGGAAGAAAAGAAAAAAGACAAAGAGACAAGAGAAAAGAAGAAAAAGGAGAAGAGAGGAGAGAAGTGAAGAGAGTAGCGAAGAAAAAAGGATAGGAGAGGAAAGGAGAGGATATCTGGGAAGTTGCGATAATGAGCCAACAGATATATCGTGAAGAATCTTCTAAATCGTTGGGGCCCTTTTCAGTAGGTACTCGCCTCGAAGGCAAACGGAAGTCAATAGTTCTCTCTCTTTCTCTCTCTCTCTCTCTCTCTCTTTCTCTCACTCTCTCTTTCCCTCTTTCTCTATCTATCTTTCCTCTTTTAGCCTTTACCTTACAGTACCGACCCCCTGTGAGTTCCGGAGCCACTTACCGATTCTCTCGGATTTGTGTGAGAAAGAACGAATGAAGGAAGAAAATCAGGAAAGAAGAGGCAACTCTATGTGCCGGAGGTCAAAAAGGGGAGAAGACAAACGAAACGGAATCTTCAAACGAGGACCAAGAAGAACAAGCTGAGAGAAACGATAGGGAAGAATTCGTGACGATGATTAAGGAGAATGAGTGGTGGCTAAAGGTGGAGGATGATAGAATGGAATGAAGGTAGAAAGAATTGTTGGAACTGGAAAAGCTTGAAGAAAGAAAAAGAAGAAGAAATACCGTGGTTAAAGATCAGCCTCTCTCTTTCTCCCTCTCTTTTTTTCTTTCTTAAGATGAAAAACGTCCGACGTGCCTCTTAATTTTCCGCCATCACCGTCAGAAACTAGCATAAAATAAAAGATCTTCTCTTTCTCTCTCTCTCTCTTTCTCTCTCTCTCTCTCTCTCTATCTATCTATCTCTCTCTCTCTCTTTCTTTCTTTCTTTCTTTCTTTCCTTATCCTTACGAAGCAGATTTTTTCATTCGCTTTAATCTCTCTGTCACTTCTTATCTATCATCCTGTCTCTCTCGATCTTTTTATCTTTCTCTTACTATGTCTCGAAAATCATTCCCATTGTATATTCCTAATTGTTACATGTGTTATATCGAACAATTAATGAACGGGAAACTCCAATTTGTCTGTTATATTAAATTACACTCTGTTCCCTTTTTTTTTCTCTCTTTCCCTGTTTTTCCTTTCTGTTTTTCTTTTTTTGCTTTTTACTAGATTAATTAATTAATTAATTAATTAATTAATTTTTAAACTCGTTTACAATATTCCTTTCTCTTTTTCGCCGAAAGGAAAAACTTTTATAACGTAAAACCTGTAAAAAGAATTATGAAAAAATGAGAGAAAAGTATTCTTTAATAATTACAATCAATTGAAATTTTATAATTATAATCAATAATGAGTAATATTAAAATGAATCTTAAGAAAAAAAAAAATAAATAAATAAATAAATAAAAAAAGAAAATAGAAATAAAAAGGGACAATGTATAAATAAATAGATGGATCAAACGAATATAAATGAAAATATTTTTTTTTCTTGTTCGTATTATTTTGTTGTTTTTTTTTTCTTTTTCTAACTTTTTAATTACAGATTGGAATGTGTTGTGAACGCTTTGTGTCGTGGCCTAAGTCATGCTTCTAATAGCTTGGCACGTTTGGTTCTCGACATGAATCTGTCCGGCGAACAAGTATCACGAATCTGCGAAGCACTTCGTGACTGCGTTCAAGTACAGGCACTGCACTTGCCCCATTTGGGTTGTGGCTCAGAAGGTCTTGCCTCCGTTGCTGAATTGCTCAAGGAGAGACCCCTTCTTGCTCTTAATCTAGCTGGAAGTTGGGGATCCAAGAACGAAGATCCTTCTAGTTCAGGGATCAGTATGGGTAAAAAATCTCATTATTTATTCTCCTCAATTCTAATTTCATTCAAATAATCTAATAACTTTATTTATTAATATTGAAAGATAATTGTTTTTTATTATATCTGCAATGATTCAAATAATAATTTTTTTTTTTTTATAATTTTAACTAAATAATTTTAACTATATTGTGCTGATGGTGATATGTTATATATATATATATATATATATATATATATATATATATATATATATATATACAATACTGTATGTATTAATGTCATTTTTTTTTTTTTTTTTTTTAATATCAATATAGTAATTATTCATTCATAATGATGAAAATTCAATTTTATTGTGAAAAAAAGTATAAATCGTGATAAATCATCTTAACAAAGGATTAAGGTCTTCTACTCAATATATTAGGGAACATCAAATCAATAACGATTTACTTGAAATTTCGAAGACTTAAATTTCAACATATACATACGTAATGTATTAATATACTGTTGGTGTTAATATTATTAGATTTTTGTTTTTTTTTTGTGTTTTTTTTTTTTAATAATATCAGACACATGACAATGTAATGATGAAAACTGAATTTAACTATGACATAAAAACAATAACTAGGATATTAATAATGATCCTAACAAGGGTTCATGTCTGTTACTCAGCATATTAGAAATATTAACTCAATAACCATCAACTTGGAATTAGAGAAACTTAGATTTGAAATTACCTAGAGGACCGATGACATCAGTTTAAATCTGATATATATATATAATACACAGATATATATATTGTATAGAAACTCCCCGTTGGCGTTTTACTTACTAACGGACACTTAGAGAGACAACTTGAAAGTTTAACCCTTTTGAACTTTAAGCTATGGATAGTAGTAATAGTGGTATGATAGTAGTGGTGGTGATGAAGCTGGTGTCGGTGTTGATACTGGTGCTTTTGTACTGATGGTGGTAGTGGTGGTAGAACCATTTGCTTCTAGCTTCGAAGCAAATTTTGATCGTGAAACACCAATGAGAAAAGTACTTCTAGATACGAATGAAAATAATCCGAAGGAAATTATAATCTTGAGAAAAGTGTTGACTAAGTTTTCTCTCTTCCTTTCAGAACGTTCTCAACGTGTTATATGAGAACTTGGTTCTCTTTTTCTCTTTCTCTTTCTCTCTTTCTTTTTCTCTCTCTCGCTTTCTTTTAGAGTTTCAAACGATCGGAAAAGTAATTAACGAATGAAAATTATTATTAAATTATCGTTATACATAGATATATAGTCCTACTTTTATTATCATAGAAAATAATATTCTATCTTATTTTAAATAGAACGAATAGAAAAAAAAAATAAATCGGCAAAATAATTTCTATTGAAAGTATAATTAGGTTCGTTTGTAAATTTCTACTTTCTTTTTTGTTTCTTCCATTTTCAAAAATTTTTACTATCAAGTAAGTTCCATAAACATTGTATCATTTGTCTTTACAAATACCTTTTACATGTATACAAGATGAATGAGTATATTCAAAAAAAATTTTATTTACAATTTCTTAATATATTTCTGAATTATTGTTGATAACATAATCATTGATTTTTCCAAAATCTATTAGTAAACATGATTACATATTAAGTAAACATAATTGTTTACAAATATTTTCTATGTACGTAAGCAAGCACTATAATCAAGAGATGTTTGAAAATATGTTGAAAAAGAAAAAAAAAAGAACAAAAAAAGAACAAAAAAAAGAAAAAAAAGAAAGAAAGAAAGAGAACAAAAAAATGATTTATAATTTTATATAACAAATCACTAAATAACTTATCACCCTTACGATTGTTATGATGATCGTGCAACTGATACAATTTCCCGAATAGGGAAGAAATAGAGAGGCCATTAGGTGAAATTGAAATATCAAAATTCTCCATTTCTCGACAATTCAATCTGTAACAGAATTCCTTTGGTAATAAATATGAGTATTTTGTAGGAGTAGGTTCCTCTCTTAAGGGACGTGAGAACCGCGACGCGAATCGATTCGCACTGCTAGGAATTCGTTTAATATAACACGTTGAGAAACAAAACGAAAGAGAGACTTATTTCGAAAAGGGAAAGAAAGAGAGAAGGGAGGAAGAGAAAGAGTATGTAAGAGAAAATGAGAGAGAGAGAGAGAGAGAGAGAGAGAGAGAGAGATCGATAAACAGAGCGCAGGTTCACGTCCAACATAATTTCCGCTTGCGAATAAGCTATTAATCATCTTTCAGAGAAATACTGCCCTTTCTCTCTCTCTCTCTTTCTCTCTCTCTCTCTCTCTCTCTCTCTTTCTCTCACTTACTCTCTGTCTGTCTCTTTCCATTAGTTTCTCTCTTCGTTAGATCCAGCAAAACTTATTTCTCTTCTCTTTCTTTCTTCATCATTTTCTCTCTCTCTCTCTCTTTATTTCTCTGTCATTGTCTCTGTCTCTGTTTCTCTTTATATATCTCTCAAGCTATCTGCAAGCTCATCAGTTTAGACAAATGGGAGTTTGTTCTAACAATTGATGTCATCCGTGATCTTAACATTAACAAATATATGTACAATAAGTATTAAGTGCGTATATACTTATATGTAAGTATGTAAGACGAAGTACTTGTTATATTTGTTGCTGACGTTGTTATTACTTGATATTCAATAAAAGTATAAAAAGAAATTTATTAGAGAAAGAGAGAGAGAGAGAGAGAGAGAGACGAAGAGATAGAGAGAGAGAGAGAGAAAAAAGAAAATATAAAGATTTTTCTTGATCTTCTCAAATACATAATTAAAATCAATTGGAAATAAGAAATTGTATCATATTTGAGTAGATATTATTCTATTATACTAATGGGGAAAAAAATTTCAAAAAGATTTTTTTTTCTCTTTTTTTCGAAGAAAAGAATATAACAAGTGATTTAAATAATAATCTTCAATTACATTTAACAAGGACAAAATAATTTATATTGTTTTCAAATCATTAAGATACACTTGTACGTATATAATCTATTTAATCATAATAATCGATGTTTTAAAAATTTATATCGTTCGAGTTTACAATTGAAAATAATTATTTTACAATATACATTTAATTTATATATATATTATAAATTTAATAATACATTCACATTATTATTATTATTATTATTATTATTATTATTATTATTATTATTATTATTATTATTATTATTATTATTATTATTATTATTATTATTATTATTATTACATACACGAATAATTGATAACTTTAATATTGTCAATATTTAATGGTAATTACTATTATTATTGCTAAATTTATGATAAAATCTTTGACTAGTGACTAGTAGTGGCGTTGAAAATTATTTGTTAAAAAAAAAAAAAAAAAAAAAAGAAAAAGAGAAAAGAAAGAAGGAAAAAAAAAGACAAGAAAAACTCGGTAATAACATTAATATTTGATAGAAAACTTTACCATAACGTTCACGTACGATACTAGACGTATAATTTACTCACTTGAACCATTTTCCTTTGGGATCTTTGTCGTTAATTAATCGAGTCAACTCGGACAACTCGGATGAAAGGGCAACGGTTCATATCGCTGAGAGTTTAAATCGTTTCACCACTCTCGATGCACTTTCTATCAAGCGACGAAGGTACTTTCTTTGTACTCGTCAAGCCATCTTTTTTTTTTTCTACGCTTTATTACTTTCCTGCCTTACGCTCCATTAACAAATATGAAACGTAAATTGGACGACCAAGCGTAAACGTTTTGTATTCCCTTCATCAAAGAGAATAAGAGGGAAAGAGAGTAAGAGAGAGAGAAAGAGAGAGAGAGAGAGAGAGATAAAGAAACAAAAGGGATTGTTTTCTCTCTCTCTCTCTCTCTCTCTCTCTCCCTCTCTCTTTCTCTCTCTCTCTATCTATCTCTATCTCTATCTCTATCTCTGCTTCTATTTCCTATCTTTTTCTTTCCATCTCAGAAAAATGGGTCAATGTTCATCTGAATTTATCGAAACGCCTCAGAGTCGTAATATAAATTATATTCACCCTCGTCTTAAATCTCTTGGTAAACTTAGCCCGTGGGAAAATTCTAAGAGCATAAAAATTTCCCGTTCTTCTATAATAATATTCACGTTCTGCCAACGCTAATAAAAGTTAAAACTCATTATTCTGTCTCGAAAAGTTTACCAAAGGAGAACTTTTCTTAAGCCACGACAAGAGAATTGAATTATTTGATATATTCAAACTATAATATATTCGCAAGATCAATATTTTATAATTGTTAAATAATACAGTATAATTTTTTTTTATTATTATTATTATTATGAATTAATAAAATTGTTAATCATTTTTTGTTTGTTTTAAGTATAAATAATAAGTATTAACTTTTAACATGTTCATATGTGAATATGAACATGAATATAGTTCTTATGAACTTCAATTTTAATATTTTCTCTGTTCAATGAACGAAATAAGTGACGTCAAATTTCTCCGAATTATATGAATATTTTTTCTTTTTTTCAAAATTAACGATATCTATTGTTATCACGATGACATGAAATTCCTCAGAATTAATTTAACAATTTTTATCATAATTAATAATAATAATAATTATTATAATTATTATAATTATTATTATTATTATTATTATTATTATTATTATTATTATTATTATTATTATTATTATTATTATTATTATTATTATTATTATATATACACTTCTCTTATCAATATAATTCAATAAATTTGTATATCACGCTAATATACTATATTGATCAATAATCATTCATTTCTCATAACATGTAATTTAAAAAAAAAAAAAATTAATATAATATTAATGAAACATTTTATCTTTTACAACTATTTAAAAAAAAAACATATTTAATATGTTCAACTCATTTGAAGATATGTATTTGACCAATTTTTTTCTTTTTTTTTTTTTTAGGTTCAGGTTCCGGATCTGGTAGTAGTGGATACGCCTCAAGTATCCTCGGCACACTTCCCTTAAATCGTTGCTACTCTTCTTTACCGCGCGGTGCTTTGGCAGCTTATGGAAGTTTAACCAGGCCAGCAACCTTACCAAGATTACCTTTTGGACTGGGTCTCGGCCTTGGTCTTAGTCCAACGATCGCTCATGGACATGGACATGGTACTGGTAGTACTACTGGACCTACCAGTTCTACTACTACTGCTTCTACTTCAACAGGAAACGAAAATGGCACTGCTACCGGAAACGGACCTTTGCCACAAAATGATAGTAACGGCAGTAGCAAGCGAAATAGTGACAGTGTACTTTGTCATCGACCACCTCTTATGCATCCATTACCAACCTGTGACATCAGCAGTCACCAGGGTACCGGATTTCATGAGATCTTCAATGCTATTAGGTAAATATATTTATGGTTATTTGAATTTATTATTTTTACTTTTTGATAATAAAATTGACTTGTGATTAGAGATTATTTGCTTTAATAAAAGATTCAAATGTGACATTTTATTTGATTTAATTGACAAACGATCAAAAAACATCATTTATTATTTTAATGTTATTCCTCTCTTTGTCTAGTTAACGTTAGATTAGAATTATAACATAACATGTTATCTTTGTTTAAGTTGTACCTATCAAAAAGACTATCTAATCATCTTAGAGTTCTTGTTATTCGTTACTTAATGAAGAGAGAAAGGATACCTTAATGAACTTTATTGTTTGATCATAGTTTTTTTTATAGTATCTTGACCAAAGGAAGTATTTTTATAATACTATTCAATTAAAAATTTCATTAACAAATTATCAACTGATGCAAATAGAATATATAATCTATAAAATGGAACTATAATTTCTTTATAATTTTTTCCTCGGTAAAATAGAATATTTGGCTTAATAAATTCTTTCCTTTTTACAAATAAGTACAATCAAGGCTGACTCGATAACAATCGAGAAAATGCGAAGAAATGATTCTCCTCTTTAGCATAATCGTGGAATATTACGCGATTCAATTCACTTTCAGTTCACATTTGCGTGGTAGATTTCTCTGTCATTGCGTTTCCATAATTTGCGTAATTCTGAATATTGTATGATCGGAGACATAATAATAATATATATATATATATGGTGGAATAATCAGCATATATAATTTACAATTAATAAAGCCTGAATGATTATGCATTTAATATATGTACGATAGCTTTTTTAATGTATGTACGATAGAAATGTAAAAGTTTTTATTAATGACTATAATTTAGGAAAATTTTATTAAATCTTTCTTAAATCCGTTAAAATTTTTATTATTTATAATATATTATTGTTATTTTATGCGTTAAAATCAATTAACGAATAACGTTAAAATATCAATAGTTAAATGTCAATAATTCTTTTCTAATTTTTTAAAGATATCAAAAATAATGAAAGTAGAGAAATTTATTAAATAATATAATCGTATATATAATGTCGAACGAAGCAAAAAAGCTAAGGGAAAAATATATGTATAGTATGATGTTCCATCATAAAAGAAATCCACACCCTTTCGAGTAACAATATCTGAACAATAAAATCACCCCTATATTTCTCAACTTTCATTATCCAACAGTTTTCTGATTTCTTGCTTTTTTTTTTACGAGAATCGAGATCTTTACGCAAAAAAAAAACGCAATTTTACGACGACTATTTGACAGATAACGTCTTTCCTTCGATCCTTAAGGATCTTTTCGAAAAAAAAAAATTACTTTCTAATATATCAGTAGTTCACAAATCTATAGTTCAATCTATCTATCTATCTATTTCTCTTTCTATCTTATAATTATACGAGTAATAATTTTAGACCAATGAGATATATGTACTAATACAAACGTGACTAATTTTGTATAGCTAATTTTGTATATTCGTCCTTCTTTTTCCATTATTATTCTTTTCTCAAAACTGTAAAGATCTCAGGAATCTTTGATTATACAAAAACTTTCGTCATGGAATTTTTACCTGATCTCTAATTTATTAATTAAAAGTTTAATCTATTGAAGGACAATAGGATGTCATTTGGATTTTCGCGAAGTCTTTTCAAACAATTTTAATTTACGCGCTTTTATTATTCCGAATTTTAATCGAGTTATAATTAGTTCATAAAAAAAAAAATATATATATATATATATATCATCGATCATTCCAATTTTCCATTTTTTATTTTTTATTTTCTATTTTTGATTTTTGTTTTATCTATTCCAATTTGATCGAACAAATGTTTGAGAACAGTAAGTGATAGTATTTCGCAATTAAATTCAATCGATGACAATTAATTTTTAATTAGTTTTGTAAACTTTGAAAAAAAAAAAGAAGAAACAAAGAATTACGTAAAGATTTTTTCGACAAATAAATTTGATCGTTTTTATTATTTTGCTGTACTTATTTCACAAAAAAAAAAAAGAAAAAAGAATAGAAATAATTTGCAACGAGTAATAAAAAGTAATCTTAAAACTACAAGATAGATTTTTAAATGACAAGAGAATATTTATAATACAGTGATCATCTTAACTTCAAAATCATTAAGAATATAAAACTAAAATATACCCACACACACACACACACATACAGTAAAATTTTTATTCATGATCAGTAGTATAATAAGTATATTTAAACAGATATTCTTTATGTTTTTCATTAAAAATTTTCGAAAAAAAATTAGCTTGATATATTAATATATATATATATATATATATGGACACATTATTTTTAATTGCAGCCACGTATTAATTGAAATCAATTAATTTTATTCTCATGTAAAAATATAAAAATTAAAATTTTATTATCTTTGGAAAGAAACGAAAGATAAATATTCATTAATAAGAACCAATTCGTTTTAGGATATTAAAAATTAGTCGTTTTCTAATTGATTGAAATAAATTGCAAAAAAAATTTTTTTTGTCGAGCATTTGACCGTCAAACGAATCTCAAGCATGACTCATTCATAATTACAAATCGTATGATATGTTTTTAATTAAAAACGAGCACCAGCTGGCCTGGACCGTTTTACTTCCCATTTTTCTTCTTCTTTCTCCCTTTTTTCCCAGGCCTATTCACTTTTGTCTGTCCCAATGAGAATAAATTGAATCTTTCAGGGAAAAGAAAAGAAGGAAAAAAAAAATAATAATAAAAAATAAAAAAAAAAAAAGAAAAAAGAAAAAGAATGTCTACAGCGTTATTTCAACCTGGTGGCTTTACGCGTGCTTTACATTCCACGCGTTCACGTCTTTCATTAATTTTCTCCTTAACCTTTTCCCTCTCTGTCTCTCTCGTTCTCATTTTATCATTTTTATTATCAATGATACCTATATCGATAGCATGCATCTAAAATATATTCTATTTTTCAAAAGTCAAAGCATTTTTTAGATGTAAAATTTCATATATATATATATATAAATTTAATTATGATTATTATTGTTTATTAAGAGTTGAATATGAAGTATTATAAAATTTGCAATAAATACCCAATTATTTCTATTTTATCTCTTTTCTTTATACATATATGTATAAGGAATAGGAATGGCGTCTGTGTGTGTGTGTGTGTGAAATATTTTTTGTATTAAATCGTTATACAAGAAATCGATTAAATCAAATTTTACATATAGCTTATTTATAATTAAAAAAAAAATATGCTGATTTAAATAGTAAACATTAATTATATTATGCTATTTTAATTTAAAGAAAAATTTAAAATTAAAGATATTTAATATTAATGCTTCATATTAAACATTAATCATATTTTATACATATATATATTCTATCTGAAAAATATTATTAAAATGATAAATGTAAATCAATTAAAGAAAGTTCACTTTTTTTCATACATACTCCATAACAAATTGTATATAAAATGCAAATAAAAATTATTAATAAATATAAGATGTCATGAATGTCTGTCTAGATACTCTTAAAAAAAAAAAAAAAAAAAAAATAGACGATTTATTTCACTGGATAGATCATGGCAATACGCTATTTATGATATTAGTTCACACGGTAAATCACAATGATAGGGGAAACGAGATGCTTCTCACTCGATTTTTACAGCCGACTGGTGTTAATAAGATAAACGATTATACGGATCATTGATCGTGACTAAGCTTAACTGGAAGATATCAAAAGCTACGTTAACTTTTATCGATTATATTTGATAATATTTGATCTAATTAACGTGACAAAAAATATTACTGATTATATTTTAACTTTCCCTTTATCACAAATAATAACATATTCTAATCTCCAATTTTAACGATGATTTAAAGTTGAAGAAGTTTTAAATTAAAATGATTTTATATTTAACAATCAATGATAACAATTATGATAATAATTATAATAAATTGTCTAATAATTTCATATATATATATATGTTAATTAAATCCAATTGTCAAAATGTATCAATCATAAATTGCAATAAATCTAATAGCCATTGGTAAAAAAAAAAAGAAAAGAAAAAGAAAGAAAAAATACGTTTACTAATCAGAAAAATAATTCACTTTGTTTACAGAGAGCCAAGCTGTAAGCTGAGATCATTGAACGTGTCAAAGTGTCTTTTGGGTGGTTTGGATGCTGGCTGTTTAGGAGAAACGATAAGAAAAGCACGATACTTAGATGCTCTTAGAGCGGCCGGTGCTTCGAAACCAGCTGATGTGATGCCTCTAGTCCTGGCCTTGACAGAGGCACCTTGTCTTCAACTTCTTGATCTAGCAAGTCCAAGACTAGCCCTTGATGATCATCCATCTAGACTTCTCTGTCAAGCACTGGCTAGGAATACAACTTTAAAACTTCTCAGTCTTGAGGGTTGGACCTTCAGAATAGAAGTAAGATTGTTTTGCTAATCAAAATTTATAATATTTTGTTTTTATCGTGTATATAAAATTAATCAATGAAGTGTTTGTTCAATTGGATACGCAAGATATACCGATAATATAGAACTCATTCAATTTTATATATAAATTTTGATCTTTTCGACAATATTATAGATTCTTTTGTCTTTTGAATAATTATTATTCTTTTTTCTTTTTTTTTTTTTTTTTTTTTTTTTTTTTTTAATTAAAAAAATACTTTATTATAATGCTAGAAAATAATGCATTATCGACATATAATACTTTATTAATTAATTTTTATTCATGACAAAGGCAAAGAGAATTAAAAATCTAATTTACATAATTTTTATTCTTAATGAAGAAAAAACATCAAACCAATTCGTTAATTAGCCTGAAGAATGATCAAATTTAAACGAAGAAAATACGAAGATCAACGAAAAGGAAGTTCAAAGATGTGTCTTTGAAAAAGTCGTTAAAAAGTTAGATGATTAAGTAAATTTATAGTTTCTATCGATAGCACTACTTGCTACTTGAGTTCTAAACTTTCTTCAAAAGGTTGGAAGAAATTTTAGAGAAGTTAAGTTCGTTAGACGTTTCAAGTGCGCATTCTTAACGTCCCACATAGATTTACCTTTGCTTTTAGCATCAATTTTTAACGAGCTCGAAAGCCATTGATTTTCTATCGATTATTGTATAAAAAAGAAATTAAATTATACTTTAAATGATCCAAGCAAAACAAAAACAAAACAAATTGTTCATTTATTATTATTATTATAATTTTTTGTTTTTTTGTTTTTTTTTTTAATAATATCATATAATATAAAATAATGAAATAATATTAATAATAATATTACTAACGAATATTATTTTTAATTTGACTGTGATTATTATTTTTTTTTTGTTTTTTTTTTTTTTCATATATATTTTTTAACATGATTCATTTATGATTTCAAACGTTTTAATTTGTTGTATGAAATAAATAAATAAAAAAAAAAAAAAAAAAGATACAATTATGAAAAGTATCTCTTTGTATGCTCGAAATGTTATCACCAGAGATGAGAAATCTCGTAGAGATGAGAATTCTCGTTTAAACAAATGAGATCTATATACATATATATATATATATGTATATATGTATGTATGTATGTACGTATATATTTCTGCATATAGGAATCCGAAACTCTAGCGGTATTCTCAGAGTTACTGAGGTATACGAACGTGAGGGAATTGAGTCTATGTAATGCTCGTCTCCACCTGGCAGTCCACGAAGGTCCTCTTGCGAGATTAGGACGTCGTGACGATGCTGGTGCCGAGTTACTACGAGCTGCACCTCCTCCAGCTTGTCCTGCTATCGTCTTTCTCAGATTGGCTGGATTCCAGGTTGGCTTTTAATAATAATTAATTTCATAGAGATAAAAGAGATTCTATTGATCTATAAAGTCCAACATTTATTTATCTTATGTCAATGTTTATTTTGCTAATATTCGATATAGATATTAATAATATATAATAATATAATAAATAAGAGAAAAATATATGATATCGAAAAAAAAAAAAAGAAAAATGATGATCATATTTATATGATGACAATATTTATTTGAATTATAATTATAATCTTGTTAATAAATAATATCAAGATAAAATCTATGATAAAATTTTTGTATTAAAAAAAATTATAGTATATATCGGATATGTGCAAGTCCTATGGTAATAGAATTGTAATTATATTAGATAATACTTAATTAATAATTATGATAAAGATAAGAAAAATGGATTTAAACGGAAAAATTTCTATAACAAGATTATTTTTAATTATTACGTTATAAACTTCAATATATGACATTAATTCTGATTTTAGGTGACGGTAAACGATCGGCTGGCATTACGCGGACCTCTACTACTTCCATTCTTAGCAGGCTTCACCGGTTTAAGCGAGTTAGATTTATCGTTAGACAAATCGGCCATAGGAGGTAGCAGTGGATCTTTATTATTTATTGACGACAAAATACTCCAACAATTTTTTGCTTGTCTCTCTTCACACTTTCGCAATTTACAATCACTAAGAATCAGTTTTTGGCGTATCAGTTTAGAGGACAGCGAGAAAACGATGCGTCAAATAGCAAAGCATTTAAAAATTTGTAATTTGAGTTTTCTTAAAATGAATGGCTTAATTGTCACCGACAGCGCCAAAAAAACACAAATGGAACATGTTTTTCTTCAAACGATTATTATGAATCTTCAATATCTTACTTGGCTTTGTTTAGATGGTATCGAATTAACAGAGAAACAAGCATCGAGTATTGGTAAATGTACGAGAGATCGTTATACAGGCAATTGTTTTGAGATTAGTGCTAAGGATGTTAACGTAAGATCAGTCAAAGCTTTGGTAGCAGCGATTGAAGAAGCTGGTAGAGCTGAGGTAGTCTATACCGGTGGTTCCAATTGTCGATTAAAAATTACTATGTTACAGAAGAGTGGTAAAAGCAAGAAAAAATGAATCCAATAAATGAAAAGGAACAAGAGTCAGAACTGAAAGCAAAAAAAAAAAAAAGAAAAAGAAAAAGAAAGAAAAAATAATAAATACCAGGTTGAATCCTGTCAAAGTAGAATGTTCCTAGCAAGGTATATTAAAGAAAGAAAGCTACTATTATTAGAATAGGAGAAAATAAAAAGTGAGTTGAGGAATAAGAAAAGAGATACGTATATTGATTTTTAGGTTTTTTTTTTTTTTTCAAGAGTACAGCCTTTTTTTAGCAAACAACTTTGTTTAGATTTTCATCTGTAAAGATGGATAATACACAGGAAATAAAAATTGGGACCAGGATCTCCCAGTCCTCTGTAGAACAAATGCTTATAAATTACAACGTTGATAATGATAATGATGATGATGATGATGATGATGATAATAATGATGATGATGATGATGATGATGATGATGATGACGATGATGATGGTAGATGATGATGGTACATGATGATGATCATGATGATAATGATAATGATAATGATGATGATGATGATAATGATATCTCAAAGTTTGGATTAGAATAGAAAAAAGGGAATGACTTAGATTCGCTACTAGCTTTGCTCTTAGTCCTTTAACAGTATTCATTTCCTTGAATTATTCAAAGATATTACTATTATGGGCTAATTATTTGATAAATAAAAATATAAATAAAATAGACTTTGTCGAGAAAAGAAAGAAAGGAACATTTGAACTCGAAGGCTTTCATTAATCATCAAGATGAAATTTTCTTTTTGCTGTTTCTATATCTTGTCAGAATTCATAGCTTAATGATCGTAGCAAGACCAAAATTCATAATAATATATGCGTCTTATTTTCTCGATTGGAATGTTTATTAAAGAAGAGGCTGTTGCGACTGCGATAATTATTACGTTCATCGTTGTTAGATGGATTGTAAGATACGACTCAGAGTAATATATTATTATCACTAGTACATTATATCGTCGATATTATTAAATGTTGTATATGGAAGTTATGATTAAAAAATTTGACAAAAAAAAAAAAAATAATAAAATAAAGAAAGAAAAGAAAAAAGAAAGAGAGAGAGATTAAAAAAAAAAAAAAAGAAACAGGTTTAAGGCAAGTAACATATTGTTGGAATTTTAGAGAAATTTTATATTATAAATTTTAACCCTAACAAATCCAAGATAGATATGAGAGAGAAAGAGAGAAAATAAAAAAGTCGATAAATTGTAATTTTATGAAATATATATATATATATATATATATATATATATATATATATATTTTATATATATATATATATATATATGTATATATATATATATATTTATATATATATATACGACGATTCATCTATATGTACAGTTACGAAATATATCGTTCGAAGAAAAAACTGCCAAATCAAGTAATAGAATTAACACATAGTTAATAATTATTATAAATTGTTGTATTTCTGCGATATTTCAGAAACGCTAATACAAGATTAATAATTCTCAATATTTGGCTTAAGTATTCGACCATCTGCGTAAAAAAACGCACAAATTATACTGCCATAAATCCTGATCTGTCAAAAAGAAATTTTATTAAAGAAAAAATCAAGAAAGATCAAGAGAAAAAGATAGGAAAATAGTAAATGATGTACAACATAACCTACAATTGTTTTTGATTCAGCTTAGTCAGATTTTCTTCTCAATATGTTTCTTCTTATACTTTCATACGAATAATTTTATAACGGTATGTCATTTATTTATCGTTAAATAAACACACACACACACACATATATATATATATATATAAATATATATATATACACGCTCGTTATTATTCTATTATGTAGGTAGTAAACATTTTTCTATTATCTGCCACGTACAAAACACCATTAATAATTATAACGTTAAGAAATAGCGAAAAAAAAAAATATCTTTTCGGATGTTACATGTCATATTTGTGGGCCTACTTTACGACAAAAAAAGAAAGAAAGAAAGAAAGAAAGAAAAAAAAGAAACTAATTAAATAAGTAATCGTTTTGACAAGATCTACATTACCGTCGGTACTGTCGGTAAAATCGTTACCGTACGTTACACGTTATTATCTGTGAAAATTATTTAATAGAGATTTAACGCTATTGAAACTTCAACGTGCGAAATCAACTTGAAGTAATTTTATTATAAACCTTTATGTATTTATATGTGTATACATATCCTCTAAAATAAATGTAATACGTATTTGAGATTATATGTATGTACGAATATAATCTATATATATACATAACACAAACACACATACATACATATATATATATATAAATAAATATATATATATATACACATACATAGACACTACTACGGGTAAACATTTTAGAAAAGGGAAAAACGATAAAAAAAGTTCGTTAGAAGTATTTTTTATTATCCTTATCTTTTTCGATTAAAGATATCCTTTTTCTTATCCTCGTTCTGTTTTTTATTCTTTTTTTTTTTTTCTTTTTTTTTTTTTTTTTTTTTTTTTTTTACATGCGCTTCTTTAGGTTATATATTAAGATTATGAAAACATAACAATATGAGCTCTCGCTGGGAATAATTACTATGGAGAGACGATGCATCATACAAGTTTCACAACAGTATAATAAAAAAAAAAGGTATACGTTCCTTTCATGATTTCGATTAATCATTAAACAATCGCTTGTTTTTTTTGTTTGTTTTATTAATATTAATTATTGCAAATTAAAATGACAACGACTCGTTCCTTATGAGGTCAATGGAATTTCATGCGATTATCATTGATCAGATTTTTGGCGGGAAAAGTTAGTCGGTTAAATCTTCGTTAATGATTGATCTACGTCATGGAATGTAAATATTTTGTTCTTTTTTCTTCTTTTCTTACTATAAGCTGCATTTTCTGGTTGAATCTGCACATCTGGTTGAAAAATGTTGTTTTTTTTTTTATCCTAAAATTGCATAATGATTTATAGTAATTTTCTGTCTAGTTCATTAGTAATACTGCATCACACTTGCCTATGTATATATGAAAAGTAACTCTTGCAAAATAAAATCCATTGATAAAGAAAATGAATTACAATAACATATATATTAATGCACAAATATATAGAAAATATCGAGCAATTTCTCCTTTTTTTTTCTTCTTTCTTTTTAAATGCAAAAATCCAGCTTAACAGATGTTCCTTAAAAAATTTGTTCGGAATTAATTCTATTGATTTTAATATAATTATAATTGTTTTCGACTTAAATTATTTTTACAATATTTGAATAGTAATTTATAATGGAATAACACTTCTACTATAAAATAAGTATTTTATATAAATCATATTTCATATAAATTACTTCAACGAAATATTAAAAATCTTCTATTTTTATTTATTGTTAAATATATTTGATAATATATTGATAATATATTGGTAAAAACCATTAACATAACCTGAAAATGAGCATCTTTACAGAAATATATAAAAAATGAAAATCTTATGATTAGATTTAATATTTGAAAATGATAATTTATCTATAAATTTTCAAGTCAATAGATATCGGTTACAAGAACATTTTTGTATTTCGTAATCATAAAAGAATCCAGATCTCAAAAGAGATCTATACGCATTAATTTAAAAGCACAAAAGTAAAAGTTTATTAACTATATAATGAAATGCAATATTGTTTGGATTTATATAATTTCTATAGAGCATGATGCTCAAAAAGCTAGAAAACAGCAGTTTGGAGCTTTAGGACTAAAAGGGTCCTATATTGATGGCTCCAATGGCTGACAGTTGGCAAATTATATATAATTCTTTAAATAATTTGTAATTGAAATTGATATTCTCCTCTATTAAAAACTAAGCAACCGCACAGACTCAAAATCGCAAAAATAGTTTGCGTCAGAGCTGTACTTCTTGCACCTTTTTGACAAATTCGACAAATGAATACACTTCTGGAGCATTTATAAGAACACTTTACAATACGCACGTTTCTGATAGATCACATAGGTGCATAATCCAATTGCACCGTTAGTTGTCTCACACCTGCTGCTTGAAAAATCATTTGAGTATGCGCAACCACATACTTTGGATCTACAGTTCGTGCTACTTCCAGTTTTATACAACCAACATAAACTTCAGAACAAAGTGTCCAGAAATGTGGTTCTTGTACACTATAAACTCCAGCCAATTGGGTCACTTTATTGTAACACTGTGGTAAAACATGATCCAAAGCCGAAGGTTGTCTTTGCATAAGAATCTCCCAAGATTCTTTCATTAATGAAACTACACTTAACACTATCAATACTGCAATGAGCATGGAACAAATAGGGTCAGCTATCATCCAACCAAACATTTGCATCAAAACAGCCGATATAATTACTCCTACAGATCCCAGAGTATCTGCTAATATATGTAAAAAAACTCCTTTCATAATTTGAGAATTATTAACAGTAAAAGTTGGATCCATTTCAATATCAAGATGATTGTGACTGTGATTATGATTCAAATGAGAATGGCCATGCCCACTACTATGAGAATGAGAATGCCCATGACCACCATGGCCATGCCCATGTCCATGTTGAAAGGCATATATTCCTACTAAATTCACTATGAGTCCCATCACAGATACAGTAAAAAGTCTTTCGTGTTTTATCTCAGGTGGCTCGATAGCTCTTTCAACAGCTTCAAACATTATAAAGACAGCTATGAATAACAATAGCAATCCATTAACGAATCCGCCTAATACCTCTGCACGTACATAACCATAAGAGTATCGGTCATTGGCTCTCCATTTTGTGATAACCGATGCTACCAAACCAAATAACAAGCCGGTACAATCGAAAAACATATGGAAACTATCTGAGATTAGGCCCAAACTGTTTGTCCATAATCCGTATGATAACTCAACGAAAGCAAAAGATAAATTTAAAACTGAAAACAAAAATAAATTCCTGGTATTTTTGTCAGAAAAAATTAAACGCTTCCAACCAAGAAGCTTCTCCTTGATACGGCTGCCAATGTTGCGTGAATCCTTGTGCGAATATGGTGGAAGCATTTTGTTTAGGCGCCAGGATTAATTATATTAAAAACACTTCCTAAAACAAAATAAATAATACATTATTATAATAATTAAAATACATATAAAGTATATAATAAGAATAAAATACAAATACAATGAAAAATATGATAACATTCATTACTAACATCTGGTATATAAAAATAACAATATAAATAACTCATAAACGATCAACTAATCAATTTATTTAAAATGTTTGTAATATTCTAATTCACAACAAGGTTTACATTAAAAACAATTATTGATTTAATTTAAAAATTATTATTAACCTCTTGTAATGTTTATTTTTTTTTCTTTTTTTTTAGAAAAAATAAATACATCACATATTTTATTCTAATGGAAATATAAATAAATATTATGACACAAAAAAATTGTTAGTATCCCATTCTAAAGAATGTCGAGTTACGCTAAACATACGAGTGCAAAGGGTTAATATCATCGTAACTTCATAGACTGACGTGACACGTTCACAAATATATCTTAACCTTTACATTTTTGGTTAAATCTTACCTTTTTGTACAAAATCCAAAACAATAGGGGATTGTAATTAATCCAAGAATAATTTATAATTCTTCCTTAAAACGAATTCATGATAATAAATCACTAATAATTCGCTTTAACCGGTTCGCAAAAACATTCGTGGCACTGTACATCAGTAACACTACACAACGTATGGGAGCATATTCTACATGTCGCTTAGTTCAATGTCTTTCAGTCAGTCGTTAAATAGATAGATAAATGATTTGCAAAGTTTAACAAAAAATATTATTAATATTATTTCTTTTTATAATTTTTTAATTACGTATTTTACGAAATTTACTTGAAATCAAAAGAAAAAGAATTTCTTTCATTATTTTATGATTATTCATTGGAAATAAAATAAATCGAATATTACATATATTTCCTTTATTCTATACGAGATAGATATTAATGGTTTTATAAGTATTTTTCAAATACTTAAAATTACATAATGATAATATGATAAGAAATAACTACCAAGTTATTTTGTGTCTCAATATAGGTTATCTTATTGTTAATGTTTTTTTTTCAACTAATGGATTATGTTAAATTATTCAACTTTATTTTTTTATTTATTTATTTATTAATTTTTTTTGTTTTTTAATATAATGCAATATAAGAATAGGAATAGAATATTTTCTTTTTGGTCAATAAAAAAGACTTTAAATTATGTCATCGATACGTAAATTAAATTTAATTCATTTATTATCTATAGAATTCTCTCTCTCTCTCTCTCTCTCTCTCTCTTTCTCTCTCTCTCTCTCTCTCTCTCACACAATTACATTTGAAAATAATTATTATTTCGATTACTTTATAATGTTTTCTTTTCGTACTTTGTTTATAGAATTTGTGTACCATTTCTGTTTTAATTACTAACAGATATTGGGTCTATATAGATATTGATTACTAATATAGATGGATACTGTTTTGTATATATATATACATTTAAAATAAATTTTGGAAGTATTTTGAAAGGTTAAATTTGGAAGTATTTTTTAATTAACAGATAATAGAATATGATAGAATTGTAGATAATGGAAATATAAAAAGTGTTTGAATTAAATTAAATTCTTCTATTTAAGAGAAAACTAAAAATAATATACGATACATATATGAATAACATTCGGCATAGTAAATAATATTATCAGAAAATCGTGACATATTGTTGATGGTAATTTTTATCGTAAACAAAAAAAAAAAAAAAAGAAAACTGAACTCGAACATTCTCCTTATCAGAAAGGAGAAAATGGCAATAATAAACATGGTCAAGATGGCGCTATTATCCCGCGAAAATACAAAAAAATAATGTTGAACTTAATTCTTAGTTGAGGAAAAATTTTAAAAATTGATATCATTTCTTATTTTCAAAGTATATTTTGCAATAAATAGAACATATTAAAACATCATTATTATAATTGTATTAAATGAGGAATGATCGATAAATGACAAATGGAATTTGTTTTATAAAGTAACGTATAAAACAATCGGGCAATGATCACTTCCATAAACATTGCTTCTTATAACGTTATCGCATACTTTGTTTTGAATACGTTCAGATACCAAGAAGTAATCCAATCTCCTAGATATAAAATAAGTTGATAATAAAAGTATACACATGTGAGATATTATCAAGTATATTATATATATATATATGTATATAAGTATATATATGTATATATATATGTATGCATATATATGTATATACATATATATATATAAGGATGATTCAATAACTTTATCAGAGAGAAATTTTTTAAATAAAAATTATTAAATCATCCAAAGAGGATTAAAAGAAGAAAATCTCTTCAATAGAATTATTTTTATATTTTTCTTTTTTTTTCAATAAACGATTCTACTTTTAACCCTTCTCTTATTAATTATATAAATACATAATTATATATTTATAAAATAATTGTAAATAAGTTACAATAAAAATAATACTACTAAACTTACCAGCCAATATTTTTACTTCTTGCATTAGCAAAATATGACCAAAAAGTATAAGCACCTGTTTTATCTGGATATAACATTCTGAATGTATCAACAAATCCTTGATCTAAAAAGTCAGTCATACCATCTCGTTCTTCTTTAGTAAATCCAGCATTTTTTGTATTGGTTTTAGGATTTGTTAAATCTGTAAAAGATTGTTTTTAATTTTTCTTTATATAATTTTATGCTTATTAAAAATTGCAACTGATTGCATTTACCAATTTCTTGATGAGCTACATTCATGTCTCCGCAAATTATGACAGGTTTTTTCTTATCCAATTCTTTAACATACGATTTGAATTTTTCATTCCATTCTAATCTTTTGGGCATAGTTACCAGCTTTGCTCCAGCATTTGGCACATCTACAATATATGATAAATTGAAAATATATTAATAGAAGATATATTAGATTCGTTGTTAGTTATTAATAAATATAAATACTTTAATAAGAAATTTGTTTACCTCTATATCATAATATAGTATGGTAAAATAAAATATAAATAAATTTGTATATAGTATTATCAATAACTTACAAACATTCAATAAGAAAAAGTTTGGATATTCTGCTGTAATTAATCTGCCTTCTTCATCAAGTTTAGAATTATTTAAGCCATACTTGATATTAATGGGCTTCTCTTTTGTATACAAAGCTACACCACAATAGCCAGCTTTTTTGCCTGTTAGAATAATAGATATTTATTATATAAATTAATAAATTAATACAAAAAATATATATATATGTGTGTGTGTGTGAAAGAGAGAGAAAGAAAGAGAGAGAGAGATTTATGTTTACTATCTGCATAATAATGATGATATCCTGGCACTTTTATTTCGCTTGGTAGTTTATTAGTGTTGCATTTAGTTTCTTGCAACGCAACAATGTCTGCATTTTCCTTGACAATATAATCCATTCCATTTTTCTATATCATAATATCTACATATAAGTATCGAATGTGCACATACATTTATAAATACATAATGATATAGCAATAATGCTAAATAAACAAATGAAATTTACCTTTATAACTGCTCTAATCCCAGAAACATTCCAAGTGCTAATTTTTAAATTATATTTCATTCCTTCTGTATTAAGTTTATCGCAATCAAAATATATCTCATTCAAATTAGTATCAGTTCTATTAATAATTGGTTTATTCTCAGTTTTAGCTTTTTTAGCAACAGGTTCGTCGTTATCATTCGCTTTACGTTTATTTTTCGAAACTGATTCTTTTACAGAATTGACAACAGAATTTTTAACAGTTCCTTTAGAATTTTTAACAGTTTCGTTATTAACTTCTTTCTCGGTTGCTTTGGTTTGTTTTTTAATAGATTGTTCAGAAATTTTTACTGATTCACCTATATGTTCTATTGATGATTCTCCAGATTCTTTATTAGAATCAGAATTCTTTTTAGGAACTATATCGGATGATTTTTTATCTTTAGCAAGTTTACTTTTGGATACATTTGTCTAAACAAAAAAAAAATTATTTAATAAACATTGAAATGATTTCTTGACGCATTGAAGGGTAATGTAAATAATTTTCTTTCAACGAAAAAAAAAAAAAAAAAAGAAAGAAAAAAGAAAAAACATTTTTATGAATTATTCCTTATAAATAATTTCTATAATTATGATATAATAAAAAAATATGTACGTAAATAAATTTATGAAGGACAAATGGATATATGTATTTTATTGACAAATATTTTTCTACTAACCTTCAATACTTTGCTTTTCTTTGGTGGCATATTGATTATTCTTCGACTTTATATATATATATAAATTAACTTTATTACAAATCAAATGTATGTATGTATATATATATATATCTATATATATATATATATGTATATGTATATTAATATTATAAAGAGAAATTTTCTTTTTATTCGTGATTTATATATATCAAATATAATATATATATCTATATATATATATATATAGATATATAGATATTAAAATATTAATACAGAAATCTTACATTGGCACCAAACATTATCAGCCGAATTCAATAGAGAGTAAAAACGAGCAAGGACGCCAAATTGCGCGGGATATTTGTTGCGCATGCGAGATCTTATAAAATGTGATCAGGTTAGATTCGTCGATAAAATGAACCAAAAATAAATCAACTTATAGAAAGGATCATATATTTCATTTATAAAATGGACAAAATTTGAGATAATTATAAAAAAGTAAAAATATGAAAATCTTTTTCTATTGCTCTTCGTTAAAAAATTCTTTTACCTTTTTTTCTTAATAATCACATAACTATTTTTTTTTTCCAGAATAATTAAAAAGATTAAAAGCAAATGATTAAATATTATAATAGATAACATGTTACAAATAGATAGATAAATGATCAAAATAAATCAAAATAAATAATATAACAATAGAAAAGAAATATATTTTTAACATTTTTATCAAATTACAAAATTATTTTATATATTTTTAATAACAAAATTAATTTCAATTAATTTTATTCGATATATTTTTTATTAAGATGATGTAAAAATTTTATCTATGACGACATGTGAAGTTATCTTACAATTTTTTTGATTATTTAACATTCATAAAGATTTTATTTGTTTAGCACCGTGGTGTATTCTAATAATATTAATAATTAGATGATAATAATTTTTAACAATTAAGTTTATAAAATTGTTTAAAAAAAAAATGCGTTTTCTTTATTTTAACATTACATTAGTTAAAATTAAAAAATATTACAAAGTAAATGGCAACGTATTTGAATGGATTTTCAAAATCCTTTCAATTTCTTTCTAATTAAACATTAAAATTAATTAACTTAGATTTAATTTTTAGATACTGTTAGATTTTACATAAGTAATTATATTTCAATAGATAAATATAGTAAATAGAATTCTAATATAATATCTTAAATAAAAAAACACTAAAAAATTTTAATTTCTTTATTATTATTATTATTATTATTTATTGTATTATTATTATTAAAACTTATACACCGATGCAATATACAATATATATATATATATATATATATATATATATATATATATATATAGTGGAAACAAATGTTTCTTCATTGCATTTGTAATTCATATTTTGTCCATACACGTCGCTGAAGTCACATAATCGTATTTGAGCGAAAGGTGATGAATATCTCTTTAAATCTAATTCATCGGTGTAATATCACGTGGTTTATACGTACGTATATTCTAATGGTGCATATCATGGTTACGTAGAAGATATAAAATGTATACACAAATAAATAAAAGAAAATTAATTCGAAACAAATCTTATGAAAGTAAATTAATAAAGTAATGTTGATATTTTTTTGTTTGTTTGTTTTTTCTTTTTTAAACGATATAAATTTATCATCAATCAATTTATTTTTAGGTTAATCGTGATAATACATTATTAGAAGGATGTTTAATTATCGAGTAATATTTTATAAGAAAGGAAGAACTTGTTTGTAAGTTCATATAATTAAAATGAATATTATTTCTTTTATGTATGTCATATAAATATATTATTTTTTTTCTTTTTTTTTTTTTTCAATATAGTGTCAAATCTCAAGTGGCATGGCCATGTGAATCATCTATTAAACAATTTTATCTTAATAAAATAAAGCGATATTATAGAACACGAAGTGAAGAAGAAAGAAAACTAGTTGATAATGTAGCCAAGGTAATAAAATATTGATTATATAAGACTTTTTGATTATTTCTTTCTTAATATTTGAAGTAATATTATTTGTTTGTACAAGGTAAATAATAGCATTCATTTAGAAGAGTTAAAGCAACCAAATTTGATTAATTCAGTCGAATGTTCGAATTTTACGGAAAGACTTTTAGAGGTAAATGAAATAATAAATATAATGATTGTATAATTAATGATTTTATCAAGTATTTATACTTTAGGAAAACAAAAAAAAAAGATATAATAGTAATAACGCAATATATGATACAAAATTAAGAGAAAATGAAGAAGTTACATTTGAAGGTAAAATATTCATGTTATTATTATTAGAGAAATTGTCTTTTTAAATAATAATTCAATATGTAATGTAAGTGCATTATATTTTTCAGATATGTTTAAATTGTATCCAAACAGCGTTAATACTTTAAAAAATATTTATTATATTGTAATGAATGAATTAAATATTAATAATTTACTTCGTATGGATTTTACTTGTTCCCAAAATAAAGAACATATAACTTGGGAATGTATTTGCTCAGTTTCTTGGCCAACGAAGGAATCATTTACAGGAAGAGGTACAAGTAAAGTATTAGCTTCATCTGATGCATCATTAAAGTGTTTATACTGGTTGTATAAGCAAAATAAATTAAAAGCTAATAAACCAATAATATATACAAAAGAGGAAATAGAAGCTAAATTGGAGAGAACTATTCCTATTGATTTGGATTCTACAATTTTGGAAGAAGTTGAAAGATTGATTGAGATATACAAAGAGGTGAATATTTATATAATTTACATATATGAAATTATTAAATTATTAATAAAAAAACATTTCATTTGATTATAGAATGTAAAAAATATAATCGAATCTCCTAATTTAAAAAATAATAGTTCTAATGTATCTGTTAATATTGACACTGGTATGACTCCTTCATTTTTGTACAATCAAACGCGTAATCAAACTCTAAAAAGTAGGTTTCTGCAAAATAAGATTAGAACTGATAATAATCTTCCTATTTTTCAATACAGGTAAGAAAGTTAAGTACTAGGGCAATTTTTGTAAAATTCGAAAATGTAAAATTTTACATTAAATGTATAAATTTCTATTAATGAATTATTAAAAAATAACTATTTAATAATAATTATTTTTATTATTTTCAGAGAAAAAATACTTGAAAAATTAGAAAAAAATAATATTTTATTAATTAGAGGTAATACAGGTTGTGGTAAAACCACACAAATTCCTCAGTTTATATTAGATTCTTATATAAAAAATGGAAATGCTACAGACTGTAATATTTTGGTATCGCAACCTCGCAGAATTTCTGCAATATCTTTAGCAGAACGTATTGCTTCTGAAAGAGGAGAATCTATAGGAGATGTGATAGGATTTTCTGTACGATTACAGAAGGTTTATCCACGATTTCCTGCTGGAATACTTTTTTGTACCACTGGTATTTTATGCCAAATAATGGAGAAAAATCCAAACTTAATAGGATACAGTCATGTTATTTTGGACGAAGTTCATGAACGTACATTGGATATTGACATACTTTTTGTTTTAATTAAAAGAGCACTTGCAAATAATTTTTCGTTAAAACTTATTATTATGTCTGCAACTATTAACTCTAAAATATTTGAAAAATATTTTAATTGTGATACAATTGATATAGAAGGTAAAAGATATCCCGTTAAAATGCATTTCTTAGAAGATTTTGAAAATTTATTACCTCCGTTAAAAAACATGAATTTGAATCTTATTAAAAAAAATATAAATCGAAATACGAATATACTAATGGTTAATATTCAACAAGTTGTAAGTCTTATAAAATGGATTATTGATACTAAACCACCTGGTACAATATTATGCTTCCTACCAGGATGGGCAGAAATTAAGATAATAGATACGATACTTAATAATGATACGTCACTAAACCAAAAATTATTAGTAATTCCACTACACTCTAAACTATCAATTGTTTATCATCACAGGATCTTTACTTCAGTACCAAAAGAAACTTCAAAAATTATTTTGGCAACAGATATTGTTGAAAGTGGCATTACTATACCTGATGTTATATATGTAATAGATACTAGTATTAAAAATACTCCTATATGGCAAGATAACAAACTTTATATGGGCTTTCAGAAAATATCTCAAGCAAATATACAACAAAGGTACATAAATAAGCAACTGTTATAGTCAATTTATTAATAAAAATTGTTATAAATAGTAACTATTTTATGAAGAACAGTTAATTTAATTTGTAACTAAATATAATATTCATTATACATTTGTTTAGAAAAGGTAGAGCTGGTCGGATACAAACTGGTGAAAGTTATCATTTTATAACAAAAAAGGAATATGATGAATTGCATCCTAATCCAATTCCTGAGGTATTATGCAGTTCTCTGGAAGATACAATTATTAAGATTAAAAATCACACTAATGAGAAGATTGAACAATTTTGTGAATATATGATTGAATCACCGAGCGAAACGGCAATAAACAAAGCGATAAAAACGTTACTGCTATTAGATATTATTGATAAGGATGAAAATTTAACACCATTAGGAAAACGATTATCATCAATTCATGTACATCCAATATTAGGCAAAGCTTTAATTCTTTCAACAATATTTAAGTAAGCCGAAATAATGTTATATACATAAACTTATATTTTATTCTAAAAATAATTTCCTAAAGTTACACTTTTTCTTTTTATAGGTGTACAGAATCCATTCTATCTATTATTACACTTTATTCTATAGAACAAGATATTTTTTCAAACACATTGTATAATAAGTCTTCTAAGAAAGATATTAAAGAGCAATATCATAGAACAAGTGATCATCTTGCTATAGCTAAATTATGTACTGAATGGAAAAAGAGATTAGATGAAAGCGAATATATAAATGATTATTTCTGCAACGATATGAACATTAGTCCTCTTAGAATAAAATTATATGATAGTAAATGTTTATTTTTAATAAATATTTATATATTTATATTTAAGTATATTATAAATTTTTGTTCCCTTATTAAACAATGTTTTTTTACATTTACAGAAATACGTTCTATAATTTCTAAACAATTGCAGACCTGTGGTATAAAAAATTACGATATCTCTGACTCAACAATGCTTCAAAGTGAAGATACATATAGCGAAGAAATAATTTATGGTATTATTTTATCTTCTACAAATATGCTACTTGAGAATTATGAATTTTCTTATGACAAAAATATTTTTAAAAAAAAATCTCAACTTAAATCTGAGTACGTATATATAAATCAAAATTAAATGTTTACTCTAAAAATAAACACTACCAATTGATTTATCAAATATCAATATTATAATATAAATATGAGGTCAGTTTATTGTTACAATGTATTTATTTCAGATGTAATAATTTGGCTAAGATAATGACAGAAAGTGTGAACCATAATAAGATATTTGAACCTAATTCATTCTTGACATATTTTCATGGTGTAAATTTTCAAAATATGCATTATATGCTAGTATATGATACTAGTATTATATCTCCTTTAACCATATTACTTTTTGGTCAAGGTTCCATATATGAAAAAGTAAGTTGTAAATTATAACGCGATTTTTCTGTTACCATAAAAATGATATATGAAAGAAAAAAAAAAAAAAAATAAAACATTAATTTATTTTCTATTTTTTAGGAGAATAATAACTCCCTTAATGAAAAGATTATTGTTCTTATGTTAAAGGAAGAGAAGCCATTGAAATTTTCATGTACACCAGAGTAAATATATATTTTATTTTATATAACTTTATAAAATTTTAATAAGTATTCATTTTTTGTTAATAAACGAATTTTTCCAGGGTAGCAGAAAATCTTATGTTATTCCGTAATATTATTTGGTCTGTAGTAAATTATTTTCTTATAATAGATAAACGTCCACACAATGAATATAATTATATGAATGAGTATAGATCAGAAATGTTACAAGTACTTTCCAAAATGTTAGATATAAGTGCTAAGAACAATGATAAAAAAGTAAAGTAACATATGTCAATAAATGTTGGACAACAATGGAACAAACATTAAATCTTTTATAATTTTACAAAAATATAAATATAGTCAATAACGATTTAATATAATATAAAATATCGTCTGTATAAAGCGTGATGGCTTATTGATAATTTATTTAATTTCTATCGTTATTTAATTTCTTTCGGTTTTAAAAAAGAAAGATTTTGAAAATAAAAACGAAATATATATTTATTCTAAATGTCATCTAATTTTCCTTTAATTATTTTTTTTCTCTTTTTTCTTTTTTCCATAAATTTTTACTTCATCTCTTATATCTTATTAAAACTTATAAACTTACGACATGCTTTTAAAATTCTCAAGCTACATACATATATACCGTATGTCGCCAGTTGAAATAATAATGATTAATATAATTGATGCGAATATCTGAAAAAAAAATTTTATTTGAATAATCTAGTTTATGAACATTAAACAAATTTCTAATTCCAAACCACCGACCATGTACATTTAACAATAAATTTAATATTTTTGAAATATTTTGAGGTATTTCATATCTATTATTTTATATATTTATATGTATATATATATAAATTTTAATATGATATAAAATATAAATGATAAAGTATTATTTAATATCATATAGAAAATTATTATTTAATAAGTTAACTATTACAATATATATGTATATATATATATATATATATATATATATATACCTTATTTGATTTATACATACACTTTGCAGGTACATGGAAGCATGCGCTTCTAATTTCAATAACAACAATTTCTTGTGTGTTAAAAGAAAAATAATATACAATATAATGCAAAATTATATTATTACGATTATAAAAACTTGTTTATAAATACTTATAGATAAATATTTAAATCATATAGTAATGAATTATAATCTGTAACAGTAAATAAATTGTCAAACAATAAAAAAAGAAAAGAAATGTTAACTCTAAATGATAACTCGACTTTATTATAAAATTTTCAAGAAGATTTAAATATACGAGATAAATACATATATATATATATATGTAAAACTATAAAAACTCAACTTAATAATATTCTAAATAAAAAACTTCAACTTTTTTTATATCTTTCAATATTATAATTTTTCTTAAACTAATAATAAGTTATTAAGTTAATATAATAAATTATGACTTGGATATTAAGTCGTTATATCTATTACATTATTGACTTAATAATTTTAATTTCTTTCATAATTACTCTCTAGGGACATTTAATAAGTTCGTCGTTTTTTTTCTTTTTTTTTTTTTTTTTTTTTTTTTTTTTATTAAATCTGTAAATTTCATTTTTAAAGTGAAGGACATTTTAAAGTGAGAAGTAGACGAAAAAAAAGACGCGAATTTTTCAAACGGTTCTCGTACATTAAAATATAAGAACATTCTTTTTATTTTTATTTTCATTATTTTTATTCTTTAATATAAATTAATATCGAATTCGGTTCCATACAACTTTTAAAATACATATGTATAATGCAATTTTTAATTGAGATTAGAATAATTATTAAAAAAAAAAATGTACTCGAAGAAATGATAATAAATTTGTTACTAATTTGTTTTATAATCTTTTTCTTTTTTTTTTTCTTTTTTTTTTTTTTTTTTTTTTTTTAACTGAAAATTTAAAAATGTCAAAAATTTAATGATAACGTATAATATATTAATATTTATATAACTGCATATTTTTAACATCTAATTCTCTTATATAAACAATGTTAATTCATTATTACGTTTTTTTCATTATTCGTTATTTACGTTTATTTTTTCGATTATCAGCTATTATTGCACTTCCGGCCACGTCTAAGAGAGAGTATTAGATATTTTCATGAAAATATGAAATTCTCTTAATGTATCTAATTAATATCGTAAAAATATACTTTTGCAAACATTTGCAAGTATAATTGCGATTAAAACATTATCATTTCTTTATCACCTACGTAATCAATGATATAACGATAATATAATGTATAGAACGTTATTCTTTTTAATTTTTTTTTTCTTTTTTTTATATATAATCCATTCTTATAATTAAAAAAAAAAAAAAAAAAAAAAAAAAAACTAAATCTTTTCGACTTGTTGATAAATATTTTAAGTCTTTTCTTTCTTTATTAAAATTCTTATTAATATCGATCATAAAATTTCAAAGTGATAATTGTCCATATATATTCATAGCATATATGTATGTGTATTTTATAATAATTTAAAACAATTTCACGAAGGGAAAATAATACAAGATGGATCAAAAGTTTTTAGGTGATTTAAAAAAATCAATTGCTCTTTCCTTCGAGACTCTTTGGACTTAAACTTATGCTTCTTGTTTAATAAACTGGGGTTGCAGTTTTACGATTTGTAACATAAAAAAAAAAAAAAAAAAAAAAAAACGAAGAAAAGATTCGTTTAAAAAAATCTCGAGAAAAGTAATTGATTTTAAGAAAATCATTTGCAAATTTTTAATCCATCTAAGGACTGTGCATTTCTTTTTTTATTTCTTAACAAATTCTTAACGTTTGAAACGTCTCATTAGAATCTGTCAGTATATATTCTGAAGAGAAACGATTTAATTCGTTTAACTAGAATTAGGTAACAAAACGGTAATAAAATTTTCTGTTTCGTTATCGTTAGGATTAAAATTCGTTCTTTGATAAATTCTATGATCGAAGGATCGACCATGCAAGTCTCTTGTTTTTAACAGAACATCTGAATTCGTAGCATCAGAAATTCTTTGTAAATTACCGAAGAAAACACTGTCAGTACCGATACTCTCAGCTCCACTTTCGCTAGCTCCATCGCAAATAGATTCTGTTTCATCCGTTTCAGAGACACTGCTAACTTCTGATTTCAATAATCGTTTTCGAGAACTGTTACTATCGGTACTACTGAGATATCCATTATCCTCAATTTTCATAGATCCTTGTAATGATTTTTCTGAAATCATTTGATTCACCGATCCATCATCACGTTCCAAATCATTTTGATAATCTTCTAAGTTACCAGAAGAAGATGATAAATGTTCTTGAAACCTTGAACATTTATTGTTATTATCAGGATATTCCAGATCGAATAATGAAGTTGATGGTTTTTGAAGATTCCTATGACAATAATATTGATCGTTATTATACCCTACTTCATAGCCATTGTTTTGGACAGGAGAGCCGTTGCTGGCCGTAGGGTCAACCGCTTCGACATTATTCCTGCCCCATAAGCCGTTTTTTGACGGCAATGAAGACGAAGGAATGATCGGTTGTTGGTGTTTTATTGCTTCTTCAACAGGTATAGGTGCTTTTGGAGATTGATATATACTTTCTGTCGGTGGTAATGGTACAACATCCGGTTGATTAAAATTTGCTGATCTTTGTCTCTTAGCTTGTCTTTTTTCCGGAGTTAAATATTTCTCTTTTTTCCATGATAAGCTATCACTAGTTTCACCGTTTAAAGAGTTACTACTACCTAAGAAATTTGATTCCTTTAAATTCGATCTTAATTTAGCTTCATATATTTCACGAAGACTACCATAGCCTCGTCTTTGTAAAGGATCATAATCACATTGTTCTTGATCATCGTCGCAACGAAAACTACCTTTACTTTTTAATAATATCTGTGCCGGCCTTTCCAATGAATCCATAAATATTTCATTTATCGTTTCCTTATCGGTACTTATATCACCGTTTATTTTTAATTTCATTGGTTTCCTATCCAAAGTATCCGGCTCGTATTCAGATTCATCCTGTTTAACATAATTATCTGGAGAATCTTGTACCTTGATTGTCAAATGTCCAGGATTTTCTGGTTCGTATCTTATGTCAGGACCAGAATCATCGCTACCAGCTGGACTTACGTATCCGTCATTAACATAAACTTCACTAACGAGAGAATAAGCTTCAGATCTTTGCATTATTAATTCTGGCAAAGCATTATAATAATTCTTCTCCAAAACGTCCTTCTTCAATTTTGATAATACAGTTTCACCGGTTTTACCATTAATTACAGCATTTTGTATCGTCAATTCCTCATCCAAAGGTAATGCCGTTGATAGAGTTGGACTTGATTGATCTATCGATTCTGATGACGTTGATGATTTTCTATTGTATTTGAAACGTTCCAAACTATCAACTTCGTAATCACTCATTTTTACAGATTTCGAATAATGTTCCAATACTTTAGCGTCTACCATCTCACGAATCACAGCGTCCATTATTCGCTTTGCTGTGGTCTTTGTACCAGGCAATTCGTTTATCATATCTGGTAGTTCGCCATTCGATTTCTTTATTCTTTCATTGGCATTGTTATCATTTTGATGAGTATCATTTTTCGATACTTTATTATCATTCTCTATTTCAGCTTCTTTCTTTTCAATCGCAGCATTTTCTTCCATTTGTTTGATAAAAGAATTTTCTATTGCTTTTCTTACTTTCTCATTAACGATATCTTCAGCGATATAATGGGTCTCTTTATTGCTATTACGTTCTTGAATGTAACTCGAATTTTCGAACATGGATTTTGTTGATCTTTTGGAGATACTATAACGATCATCGTTTTCTAAAATTTCACTTTTGGTAATTGGCTGATGAATATTTCTCGAAATTCTTAAAAAGGATGAATTGTCGTGCCAAGAGAACGAACATTTTCTTGTTTCTTTGTGAAATTCAAGAAAATCACATTTTGCTAATTCCTTCACGTATTCGAAATTTCTTACGAAAGTTTTCCTATCGCCATGGAAATTCTTTTGTTCTTGTTCGATCTTTTCGAGCCAATGGGAACGATTTGGTTTAACATCTTCGAGCCAAGCTCGAACTTTACTTTCACCTTGGCTAGGTTGATCATTTCTTGGATATATCGTTAGATTTTTATATGATTCTGCACAACCTGGACAGCCTGTACATCTTAATGATTTTTTCGATTTCGTCGACATATTCTGGGACGAGCTCGAAATTGATCTTTGCCGTTGTCTTTGTTCTTCTTGTTGTTTTTGTTTATTAGCTAAATTACTATGTTCTACGTCACTTTCTTCCT